TGGTATTCTCTGCTTTCAGCCAAGATCCATCTGATGTTGGCAATGATATCCCTTGTTCCATGTCCTCATCTGAATCTGGCTTGAACCTTTAGAAGTTCCCTGTCAATGTATTGTTGTAGTTTTAAAATTATCTTTACAAAAATATTACTTGTATGTGATATTAACGATATTGTTCAATGATTTCTGCATTCCATTGGATTACCTCTCTTTGGAATTGGCATATATATGGATCTCTTCCACTCAGTTGACCAAGTATCTGTCTTCCAAATTTTGTTGGCATAGACGAGTGAGCCTCTAGTATTGCACCAGTTTGTGGAACGATTTCAATTTGTATTCTGTCATTGCCCAGAGCCTTGTTCTTTGTCAATGCCTTCAGTGCACTTTGGACTTCTTCATTCAGTACCATTGGCTCTTGATTATATGCTACCTCTTGCAATGGTTGAACAGCAACCATTTCTTTTTCGTACAGTGACTGTATTCCTTCCATCTTATTTTGAGGCTTACTGCATCGTTCAATATTTTGACCAAAAAAATCATTCAATATTTCAAGTTGAGGCTTGAATTTTTTCCTCAGGTCTTTCAGCTTGAGACAATGCTGAGTGTATTCTTCCCTTTTAGTTTTATAACTCCAGATCTTTTCACATTTTATTATATTTGACTTTGTCTTCTCGAGCTGACCTTTGAAATTTTCTGTTCAATTCTTGCACCTCCTCACGTCTTACATTTACTTTAGCATCTCTACACTGGAGATCAAGTTTCAGAGTCTCTTCTGACATCCATTTTGGTCATTTTCTTCTTTCTTGTCTTCTTAATGACCTTTTTCTTTCTTCCTGTATGATGTTCTTGATGTCATCCCACAACTCTTCTAGTCTTCTGTCTTTAGTGTCTAATGAATCAAATCCATTCTTCAGATGTTCTCTAAGTTCAGGTGAGATATATTCAAGTTCATATTGTGGCTTTCGTGGACTTGTTTTAAATTTCTTTAGCTTCAGCCTGAACTTGCATATTAGCAATTGATAGTTTGTTCCACAGTCTGCCCCAGGCCTTGGTTTAGCTGACAATGTGGATCTTTCCACAGATGTAGTCTAATTTGATTGCTGGGAATTGCATTTGGTGAGGCACATGTGTAAAGTCTATCTTTTATGTTGTTTAAAAAAAGATATTTGCAATGAAGAAATCATTGGGGTGCTATGACTGGGAAAAGACTCCACAGCACACAATAACAGCAATTAGTAAATAAACTTGTTAAATACTTAAGATATAGGACATTAAAGGAAAGGGAGTTGAAAGGCAGTAATTTTATTATTTAAATATGCCAGTCTTTAACACTCTGCTTTGGTGTCATGCATCTACTTTTCTCTTACAATTTTTATTTCACTTGTGCCATTTTTATTGTCTTTGCTCTTCACAATTCTTTATTTCTTGATAAATGCTGTTGAGTCCGTTTTAACTCATTGTATAGGATTTCTAAGGAGCAGTTGGTGGGGTTGAACCGCCACCTTTGCAGTTAGCAGTCTAGTGTTTATCATAAAGCACCACACTAGGCCTTCTCTTAGGCATTTTACTTTCTATGCATACTTTATGCAGTTTGTTTTTCATTCCTTCCACTCTTCTCCCCTTTTACAGCTCTGCCACACACTGTTTCTGTACCACCTGTTTACGTAAGCATGTCCTCAAAGACGATGGTGCAAATATTGTGACTTTGATTTATTGGGAAAACTGTGCAGATTCATCAAAATTGAGAGCTCTGGAAAAGAGGATCTCTACAATGTACAGGAAAAAAATAAACGAGAAGTAGATAATATGTAGGGAAAATTTAAGAGCCCTACAATTGGGCTCTCTCTGCTCCATGACATCCCAGTTTGTGTCTGGAGAAATTTCCCGTGGGCTCTCAGACTGTCCTTTGATCAGGGTGCGTCCCAGATTCACTTTACACCCACATTGTATTTCATCTCTTTCCATTCCCTAAACCTCTTAACAAATCTCAGCCTAGCACTCTCTCTCTCAGTCCTGGGCCAGGTCTCCTTTATGAAATACCTCACAGCCCCTGCCCATTTCCCACCTTGTTTTGGACTTCGACTTCCCACCCCTGCTCAAGACCCTCCCTCTATCCTTCCTCCAGAACCCTGGACGCCTGCTGACCCCGCCCGCCCCACAGTCTCTGTCTCCGCACGCAGACGCCGCCTCTCCCTGGGCACGCGCTCCGCTCTGTCTGCGGTTCCCACGGAGCGAGAGCGCAGCCCCGCCCCGCCCTCCTCTGGCGCCGCGTTTGCCCGCAGCAGCGCCCCTCGGAGCCTCGGGCTCGGCCCCCGCCTCCTGAGCGTCCCGCTGCACTGTGGGTAGGCGGCGGCGGGCGGCGTGCGCACTGAGGAGCTGGCGGCGCCGCCAGGTTGTGCGCGCCGAAGATGGCTGAGAAGCAGAAACACGACGGGCGGGTGAAGATCGGACACTACGTGCTCGGGGACACGCTGGGCGTCGGCACCTTCGGCAAAGTGAAGAGTTGAGTACGCGCTCGAGGCGGTCGCGCGGGGCTGCAGAGGTGCGGGCGGTCGGGCGGTCGGGCGGAGGCCAGGGAACTGCCAGAGTCGCTGACGCGCAGGCGTGCGTGCGCCTGGCCTGGCGGCAGGTGGAGCGGCTCGGGTCGCGCGGATCCTGGAGGGTGTAGGTTAGGGGGCAGTTTTCCCCCGGCTCAGGGTCTTTCTCTCCGGAAGGGTTTCCTCTGCTGTAAAAATGGGAGAATGGACAGAATCTGTAGGGTCTCTAACTCTATAACACTGCACTGATAGGGCTAGGGGATAATCAATATTACTAGTTACTGAGTTTTTTTTTTTTGTTTTTTTTTTATGGGCCAGGTGTTTTTCATGTGGTCATTAATCCCAGTTAGGTAAATACAGCCTCGCAGCAAAGGTGACAAAGCTGTGTTCCCTAGAGGTACAGTAATATGCCCAAGGTCACACAAATTGGCAGAACCACCATCAAGTCTAAAATGTCTTCCCGTTTTGGCAATTGCTTGGACTTCCCTGCCACCCCCAGATTGTTTGATGCTGAGCCGTGGTTGAAGGTTTAGGAGATGCTCCAGGGGCCAGGAAATAGGTAGGTCTTTCTGTAGGGTATGTGAATACCACTGGATTGGGTCAGGGCTTAATGAACTGGGAACTTGGTTAGTGTGTGTCAAAAGGAATATGCTTTATTGGTAATAGATTTTTGAGGCTTTGAATTTATCGAGTCAGATTACTAAGGCACATGCTGTGGAGGGCTGCTTTCTTGGTGATAGTATTCCATTTGGGGGCTGCTTTTGGGATTGTTACACTTCCTCCCAGCTAGGTACTGAGTTCCGCACTCCCTCCTTCCCCCCTGTTAATGAGTCACAGGGGATTTACTTAACCTGTCCTCTCTCCAGAACTCCAGCCAGTTTATTAAAGGTACTTTCTATTTGACTGTTGGAAGGCTGACTTTTATTTGTTTCTTTCGTAGAATGTTAGGTAGGTAGGCAGTCTTGAGATTTTATTGAGGTCTCTTATTTCCTTGTAAAATCATAGTTCAACTTCACATCTAGACTGTTCAGTAGGTGGAAGAGACTCATTATTCCTGATTCCTGTTGTAAGGATCAGCTCCTAATTTACTCTCACATGTTTGATGCCCATTTATTTGTTAAGAAAGCACTTACTGAATACCTATATTGTGCAAAGCACCGCTCAAGGCAATGGGATACAGCCAAGAACAAATTGGGAAAGCAGACAATAACCAAGATATCTGTGTAGAAACTATACCGAATGTCTAGATCACAGTGATTGCTATTGAGAAAAATGAAGCAGAGAAGGGAGGATAGGGAGTTCTTGTGGGGTGTGCAGTTTTCAATCAAGTGACCAGGAAAAGGCCTCACAGAGAAGTGGAATCTGTGTAGAGATGTACCGAAGGCTACACATTTCTTTGAAGCCCTGTAGAGGCTGTGAAGTCCTGAGTTACATTTGAAAGACATCATGAGTAGAAAAGCTTGTTAGGAGGATATATTGTTGAATGAATAAAAGAAGATCCAGGGGTTGAATAAATACCTGCAGTGCTACTTATGAGAATTATCATTACTGAGGAGTGTTATGTTACAGCACCATACAGATACTCAAACATCTTGCCATCCAGACACACACACACTAAAAGTTATATAACTTACTCCTTGGACTTTTAAATGGTTAAAGCTTTTGTCTTTTTAAATTTCTCCACTGTAATCTAAGTGTAGAACAGAACACCCATCAGCTAGGATAAAGGATGACTTAAATTGCTTTTGTATATACTATTGAGCTACTGCCTGGCACTGACTTCTTAAAGTTCCAACAGAAAGAACTTAGATTTATGAGAATTCCTTTTCTGGAGAACTCCTGTCTAGTGAATAAGCAGTTGGATCAGGTTTACGAACACTTTTAGTCCATCTAAAGTTATGCAACAGTACCTTGACGGAGAACTGCCAGAAATTCAAGCTGGATTCAGAGGAGGACAGTCAATAAAGAATTTCGTAGAATTGATGCATTTGAGTTATGGGGCTGGAAGAAAGTATTACAAGTACCATAGACTGCCAAAAGAACAAACCAGTTTGTGTTGGAAGAAGTACAACTAAAATGCTCCTTAGAAGCCAGGATGGCTAAACATTGCCTCTCATATTTAGAACATATTATCAGGAGGCACCAGTTCCTGGAATAGGATATTATGCTTGATAAAGAGGAGGGTCAGTGAAAAAGAAGACGACCCCCAAAGAGATGGATTGGTACAGTGGCAGCAAAAATGGACTCAGTGTGGCAATGATTGTGAAGTTGGCGCAGGACAAGGCAGTGTTTTGTTCTGTTGTGCACAAAGTCACTATGAGTTGGTACTGACTCACTGGCACCTAACAGTAACAACAGCATCATCAACAACAACAAAGTTATACTGTGTTTTCCCATCTAAGAATTGAATCAATATAAATGTTTAATTAAACTGATAGAAATGGACACAATTTTAAGTTGCCATAACTTGGAGTCAACTGAAGACACCTAGCATTAGCAATAACCACTAATAGTGTATGAGGATTTCCATTTCGTCACATCTTTGCGCAGACTTGTTAACCAACAAAAAACCCAAACCAGTTGCCTTTCAGTTGGGTCTGACTCCTGGGGACTTCTTATTGTTTGGCTATTATAGTTATTCTAGCCGGTGTGAAGTGCCAGCTCCAGGCTTTAATGTGCATTTCCTTTATGAATAATTATATTGAACATTTTTTCATGTACTTCTTAATTATCTGTTTATCTAGTGAAATATCTGTTTATATCTGTGTTTGTCATTGTTTTGACTGGGTTGAAAGAATTCTTACAAATTGAGTTGAAAGAATTCTTTATAAATTTCTGGCAAGGTGGCAAACTAGGCAGATGTACTACATGGAACCTCTATGATAAACATGTTGCTGTTGTTTAGCGCTGGTGAGTCGATTCTAACCCATAGTGACACTGTATAGGGTTTCCAAGGAGCAGTTGGTGAGCTTGAACCACCTACCTTGCAGTTCAAATGACTTTGCAGTCTGACGCATTAGCTCATAGCGCCACACCATAACTCCATGATAAAGATAGGAAAGGCCAAATGAAACACAGATGAAAATCCTGGAACCCTGAACTTCAGAGAAGGGTTAGAGAAGTGAATTTGAATGTTGCTGGGAGAAGCTGAACAGGGACAGCAGAGGAGACTGGTGAACAGTGGTCTAGACACAGCACAGCCATTTTGAGTTTTTGTGAGCAACTTTAGCAACAGAAGGTGGACTGGCAGAATGGATTCACACAGGCAATTTATGCGCCGCCCCCCCCCCCCCCC